CAGTTAATACAGGTAATGAGTGGAGAACAGGAGGGCTTCTTAAAGAAAAACTAACAGGTCTGTGAGAGCTGGAATTCTTACTGGTTGGTAGGTGATCAAATACTTATGTCATGCAATAAAATGCAAATTAATTACTTTAAAATCATACAATGTGATTTTCTGGATTTTTGTTTTAGATTTCGTCTCTCACAGTTGAAGTGTACCTATGATAAAAATGACAGACCTCTACATGCTTTGTAAGTAGGAAAACCTGCAAAATTGGCAGTGTATCAAATACTTGTTCTCCCCACTGTATAACATTCTATTGGTTGCAAGAATTTTGTATAATAATTTAAATAGAACAACTCTAAGTTTTGAATCCAGCGTTGTTTTGTGTATCAGTTCATAAACCATGTGCCATGGAATTGGTACATCGAAAATCTCTTCCCAACTATTTTGCAATTGATATGGCACATCTTGTGGCGGTGCCTGCAGGCTGACCTCGGACGCCAGTTGAACGGTGTTTCCTCCGACACATTGGTGCGGCTGGCTTCTGGGTTAAGCTGGCGGGTGTTAAGGAGCGCGGTTTAGGCGGGTCATGTTTCGGAGGATGCATGACTCCACTTCGGCTACCAGCCCGTTGGGGGAGTAGTTGCAGCGATGAGGACAAGGATGAAACAATGGGGAGAGGGAAAAAAAAGAAAAAAAAAGAAGAAAAAAATACAACTAACTAGATAACATACAATGAACCTTGTTTTTAAGCCTGGATTCGGCCCCGGAAAGGAGGGGGGCGGCGGGGTCGGCCCGATACGCCCTCCCCCCCAACAACAAAAGGGCTTTGGGGCAGGGGGAAAAAAGGGAACAGGCCCAAAGCAAGGGAAGGAAAAAAAAACAAAAGGGAAAAACAAAAAATGGGACAAAGAACCAGGGACACGGCCAAAAGAAAAGTAGACCCGGGGAAAAAGAGCAGAGAAGAGAGAGGAGAGAAAAGAAGAGAGAAGAGAATAGAGAAGGAGGGAGAGAAGATGAGAGGAGGAGGAGATAATAGAAGAGACTGGGGATATCTTAGGAGCTTTTCTCATCTCCTCTATCTCTTCTCTCGCTCTATCTCTTTTCTTTCCCCGTCTTTCTCTTCTCACTTCCATTCCCCCTCTTTCTCACCTGATTTAAGAAAAAGAAAATTTTTAAAGGACGTTTAAAAAAAAAAAAATTAACCCCAAGGGTTTAAAAAAAAGGAAAAAAGGGGGACCTTAAAACCAAAAAAGGAAACGCGGTTGAAAACAAAAAAATTTCAAAGGGACCTTTTTTAAGGGAGTAGGGATGAGGGTAATACCTTTAAAGGGAAAAGCGAAAACTAAAAATAAAGGGGACCCCCAAAGGTGACCCGGGTGGTGGCCCCATATTTTCCCCTTAAAAGGACTTTGAACCCCAAAATCATCACCGACCCCCCAAACCCAATTGGGGCCCCGGGGTTTGTTTTTTTCCCCAAAAACCATTTTTTACTTTTAAAATTTATTTTTTAAAAAATTTTTTTAAAATATTTTGATTTTCCCCAAGGGCGGCCCGGGGGTGGTGTTTTTTTGGGGGGCCCCGGGGGTTTTTGGGAAGCCTTTTTTTCAGGGTTACTTTTTTTTTTTATTTTTGTGGCAAAAAGGTGGGTGTGTTGTGGGGGTTTGGGGGTGGGGGTTGTTCCCTGTTTATGTGGGTGTGTGTGTTTTGGGGTGTTGTGTGTTATGTTTGTGTGGTGGGTGTTGTGGGTGTGTTTTGTTGTGGGGTTGTGTGTGTATTGTGTGTGTTGTGGGGTGTGTATGGGGTTTTTTGGTGTGTTGGGTGTGTTGGTGTGGTGTGTTTTTTTATGTTTAAAGGATGGGGATGTTGGGGGGGGGGGTGGGGGGGTTGGGGAGGTGTTGGGTCCCCCTTTTCCCTGTTTAACCCCCCTGGGGGCCCTTCCCCTTGGGGGGGAAAGGGGGGGGGAAGGGGGAAAGGGGGAGGGAAACAGGGGGTCACCCCCCCGAAAACCTAATTAAGGGGGGGAAAAATTGGGGGGGCAAAAAAGGGGGGAAGGGGGGGGGAAAGAGAAAGGGGAGGGGGTGAAAAAGGGGGGGGAGAAAAAGGGGGAGGAGAGGGGAGAGGGGGGGGAAAAAAGGGGGGAAGAAAAGGGGGGGGAAAGGGGGAAAGGTGAGAAAACAGGGGGAAGGGGAAAAGGGGGGGAGGGGAGAGACGGGGGGAGAGGGGGAGGGGGGAGGGAAAGGGGGGGGGAGAGAGGGGGAGGTGAGAGAAAGGGGGGCGAGAGAGGGGGGGGGAGAGAAAGGGGGGAGAGAGGGGGGGGGAGAAAGGGGGGGAGAGGAGGGGGGGGTTTGGGGGAGAAAAAAAAGGGGGGGGAGGGGACAGGGGGAAGGGGGGGGGGAGGGGGAGAAAAAGGGGGGGAAGAGAAAGGGGAGGGAGAGAGGGGGAGGGGAAAAGGGAAAAGGGGGAGAGAGGGGGGAGGGGAGGGGAAAGGGGGATGAGAGAGGGGGGAGGGGGGAGAAGGGGGGGGGAAAAGAGGGGGAGGGGGAGAGGTGGGGGCGAGGGGAGGGAAAAGGAGGGAAAGGGGGGAAAGGGGAGGGGAAGGTGTAAACCCGGGGGAGGGGGGAGGGGGGGAGGGGGGGGGTGAGAGACAGGAGGGGAAAAGGAGGGGGGGAGGGGAGGGGGAGGTGGGGGACAGGAGTGAGGAGAGGGGGAGGGAGGAAAGGGGGAGAGAGAGGGGGGGGGAGAGGGAGAGCGGGAGAGAGGGGAAAGACAGAGAAAAAGAAGAAAAAGATGTCATGAGGTGGGATGATAATAAAAGCTTTGGGAAATTTTGTTTTAGATTTCAAAGAAATTCTTTGGGAAATTCCCCCCAAATAAAATCCCTCTCCCAAACCGCAGTCGTCCTGTTTTTTCCCCAAGAGGACTGTTTGGGTGGGTAGAAAACAGGAGGGTCTTCTGGACTGACCACTGGGGGCAGCATTTTCCCGGGTAGGTGGCCCCAGTTTGGGCCCCGGCGGGAAGAACAGAGAGGCCCTCTCCAGGGGGCGTTTCTTTTTTCATCACACACACAACCCACAACCCCACATACCCACAACCCCTAAACCCACAAACCCAGGGGAGGCGCCAGGAGAGGCGACAGACAGGCGACAGGGGAAAGGAGGCACAGCGAGGCAAAAGGGAAAGGGGGAAAAGCAGGGGCCCAAAGCAAAAGGGCGCCGGGCAAAGAGGGCGACAGCGGACGAAGCAGGGGCCCCAAGCGAGCGCCCAGAAGGGCCAGAAAGAGGGGGAAAGAGAGGGGAAACGAGGACCCTAAGAGGGGGAACGAAGGGGCGAAAAGGAGGGAAAGGGGGAAGAAAAGGAAAAAGACAAAAAGATTTAAAAAAGAAAAAAAAGAAAGAAAGAAAGAAAAGAACAAAGGGAAAGAAAAAAAAAAAGGCAGGGGAAAAAAAGAACAAAAAGGAAAAAAAGCCTTCCCCCCCTCCCCCCCCACCCCCCCAAATCCCCCCCACCTTTCCCCTTTTTCCCCCCCTAACCCCCCCAACCACTTTCCCGCCCCCGCCCTCCCGAACCTCCTTCCTTCAGTCACAGTAGTTAGAGGAAAATTCGTCAGTGTCCACCTTAACTCCCACACAACCTTAATTACACACACACTAACCCAACATAACTTTAATTACACACACACACACACATACACACACACACACACACACACACACACACACACACACACACACAAACACACGGAACCAGGGTATTAATTCAATTGTGAGTATGAATTGGAGCAGAATGTTGAGCCATTAATATGTCAACAAACAATTCAATGGAAGGCTTTTTGAAGGCTTGCTTCAATAGCTGTTATTGTGGCCAAGGTCTGTTATATTTTCTGGCATTTGAAATCATGAAAATATTTATATTTTAGGACAAATTAATAAGTGACGCTTTATAGTAGAACAGAGCGTTTGTTCCGGTAATCTGTTTTCAGATCCATATTTCTCAGTATTCAGAGTAGCCTGTCATTGTATTATATCAGCCTCCAGGCTTTCAATTCATGCTGTGTGACCTTGGCAAATCTGATCTGGAATCAGGCCAACTATGCGTGTTCTTAATTAATACTTAACAGGCTGCTTATTACATTACACATAATCTCCTGTGGTCAGATTCTGCGTGCGGACCGAGAGAATCTGCCAGGATGAAATGGGATGCGTGACATCCGAGCACCATTAGTTCCTGTTTTGGGGTTTTCGTCACTGGTTATTTGGACTTATCAGGATTGGGCAAAGGCGGTGCTTAAACTGCTTTGCCTCAAAATGCTTGGCGTGTGTGCCCACACGGATTGGTGGCAGAAGTCATGCAGCTGACCAAATTACGTAATATGTTACTTCTTGATTAACAGAGATTACATTACACAATGATTTATGATGAGGGATCAATATCATGTGATACATTCTGGGTTAACAGAGATTACATTACACAATGATTTATGATGAGGGATCAATATCATGTGTGAAGAATACGAAAGTCTGATAAGGTTAAAAGAAAAATAAATCCACTTGAGTTAGTTTCACATTTACAAGCCCTTACCATTTTAATTTGAGTGTTATGTTCAATGATGAAAAAGGGACTAGCGTTGGTAGGTCTTATGGAGTCAAGCTTTAAAAAGCTTTTTTAGTCAGAGCATTTCCACTCTAGAGTAAAACTCTGAAACGAAAACCTGTCTTTGTATTTTTGTTGCCCTCATAAAACTCCTGCCACAAATGATTGTCTGATTCTGTATGTAGGCCAAGCACCCTACTGAGCTAGTAAATAATATCTCATGATGAAGGTAGATATCCATGAAGTATTCTCTTGGTTACGTCCTAGTCTTTATTTCTATTTACCCAAAAAGACAAAAGAGGCAGCCAGCATGATGCAGATAAACATTGATGAACTATTTACAACAAATATTTACCAACAAAGTTAGTATTATTTATCTTATTTATTTATTTTCAGTCGGGAAAAAAAGTGTGGCCTAC